AAATATTATGAAAATTTCATTTATGATTGATTATGTTATGTAATGTCAACCTTATGATTATGTTATTATGTACCATTGATTATGATTATTATGTATCATCAATTATGATTATTATGTGTCATCGATTATGGTTATTATGTATCATTGATTATGATTATATTATGCACCATTATGCCATTATGTGATATTATGTCTATGAATTTTGTATCAGATTATGAGTTTTGATTTTTGATCCATTATGTTTAAGATTTAGGATAATAATTTTGTATTCATTATGTGTACTATTATGATTCCCTCTATTATTGTATTCATTATTGCTTTATATACGATCTAATGTCAGGTTGTCCGAATCTATAGTAATTAATTTCAAATTACGTCACCAAATTACAGTTTCCTGTAATTTAGAGCCATATTAGTGTTCTGTTTTACCGGCATAGGTTAGGCATTTTTTGTTATGTCAGAATAGTTGAGTCCTTAGTTACGGCAATTTAGGTTATGTTTTTTATGTAGTAAAGTCCCGAGATATTCTTTAGTAGAAATTTATAATTAAAAGGAAATTAAATAACGACTCCGAGTTGAAATCATCATTATAGTGTTTTATTGTGATTATCCATCCTATACCCTACAAAATAATATCTATTCTTATCAGCTTAATATCACAATCGCTCGACTTATTGTTATGTGAGCCTGAGTATTTTATTTTCTAAATTAGATTTTTTAATAACAGATTTAGACTAAATATTCAATAAATTTCCAGCGACAAACATATTAATTTGTTCCTCAAAAAAATCGGGAAATCTGTCATTTAAAAATGGGGTTTTTGGAGATCCCTATAAAGTTGTTTAATTCTGAAATTGAAATATTTTTCTTGCAGTAACGCTTTTTTATCTAAATATCTTTAAAACATTTACTATACAATTTTGTTATTTAAATTTGGTTTCTGGAGGTCTTCATATTAAGGCGATAATAGCAGATATCATTCATTAATCTGTATCAAAGGTCGAGAAGAAGATGGAAATTTCTGCCTAAAGCCTAGTACTCATAACTGCGAAATTCGCATTTTTTTGACATTGCGTTGACAATTTGACGTTTTATGCGTGTATCAAACATCAAATTGTCGAAGCAATGTCAAAAAAATGCGAATTTCGCAGTTATGAGTACTAGGCTTTAAACAGATCCTGCATATTCCATAGAGACCTGAGACCTTCAAAGATGATTTCTAAGTTCGGTATTGACATTTTCACGATTGATGCAGCAAATCAATAAATATACGCTGTGTCTAGAATCCCGGTACCGGTAACACATTTTTTACCGGTAGTTTTGATGACGTCATCGATATGACGCACTTGTACCGGGATTTCAGTGAATCCCGGTGTTTTGATTTTGTTTTTATCGTTATTTAGCAGCTGATTGGTATTTTAGGTTAGTTTATCATATGTTTTCGTCACTTTTTTGAAACATTTCAAACTATAAAAGTTAGTTTAGGTTCGAAATACCTTATATAAATGATTGGCGTTCAGAAATGTCGAACAACTCATCCCAGATTAGAAGTAATCTGCAATCAGATGATAGTAAACTAGGGTTGTTATATTTCTGAAAACCCCTGAGATTTCTGAGAATTTAAACAAATTTAAAATAATGTCATTTTATAATACGCTGTGGCTAGAATCCCGGTACCGGTAACACATTTTTTACCGGTAGTTTTGACGCCGTCACCCATATGACGTACTAGGTACCCGGGATTTAAGCAAATCCCGGTAAAAAAAGGTTAGTTATTGCTCGAGTCGTTGGCGGTTTCTGTTTTATCAAAGTCCAACTTAACCTAACTTTTTATGTTTTTAACTTGTTTTGTTGATGTGTGAACATAAAGTGGAGTGTTTTCGTGAGTTTATCAACGTGAAATAACTTATTTTAACATAGTTTTTAATGTAGGACAAACATTTAAAAATTATAAAGAAGTTGAAGAGACTTTGACATGTGAAATGTGCCAGTTTGTGTAAAATACTTAAAATTTGATATTGTTCTGATTGCAAACTTATAAATAAAAAATGAGAGATATTTATTTTAATTTACAACCTAAACAGTATAGTTACACATTGGCTTGAAGTAAATTAATAAATATTGAATTCGATTATAAACTGCTATATAAAGTGACATCATTTTAAATTTGTTTAAATTCTCAGGGGTTTTCGGAAACAACAACCCTAGTTTACTATCATCTTATTGCAGATTAGTTCTAATCTGGGATGAGTTGTTCGATATTTCCGAACGCAAATCATTTATATAAGGTATTTCGAACTTAAACGTAACTGTTATAGTTTGAAATGTTTCAAAAAAGTGACGAAAACATTAATAAACTAACCTAAAATAACAATCAGCTGATAAATAACGATAAAAACCTTAGATAAAAACAATATCAAAACACCGGGATTCATTTAAATCCCGGTACAAGTGCGTCATATTGATGACGTCATCATAACTACCGGTAAAAAATGTGTTACCGGTACCGGGATTCTAGACACAGCGATAAATATAATATGTATTTTTTTCTCTGATTCTGTATATTAAAATTGCATTGGATTTCAACAAACAAAATAAGAGATGCACGTTTCTGTCATATAGAAAGGAAAATTTATTTTAATACTTTGCGCGGTTTTGAATGTAAACCCTATTTAGAATTTTGCGCGATAAAAGATATGAGCGGTTGTGACAAAAGCGATTTTGGACGACGCGGTTATGGTCTTGCGCGGTTTTCAGTAGGCGGTGATGTCGCGCGCGGTTCGTGTTTTCGCGGTGGAGTCCGTGAACCGAAAATATGCAAACTAACCCAAACTAACCCGTCCACGTAATGCATGCTAGTCCTTGTATATTGAATTTAGAAAAACAACAGCGCTCTTCGCACGCTTTGTTATTAACCAGTACACCTATAATAGTTATTTATATTACTAGTAAGGTATGAGCTTCATTACAGTAACGAGTGGGGAATATTGCCAAGACGAGGTCGTAGATCGTGTCGTGGTAATCACACGAGTGGTGTTATGAGAGTTAGCGTACGTGTGATATGCAACATTTTATGTACGACCCAGATTTTTTTTCATGTATTCGAAATGGTTTTAATTTTTTACAGTAGATTATTTTTATAATTTTTGATTAATGAATTTTAAAAAGTGCCGTTTTTAATAATAAGCTCTTACAGTGTAGCTCGTAGGTACATAAACAGTATTAAACGAGCTGTAATGAAACTAACCCGTCCATCTAATGCGTGCTAGTCTTTGTATGTTGATATTGAAATATTGAATTTAAAAAACAAAGCGCGCTTTGTTTTCAACCAATTAAACGAAGTTTATCGGAACTAACCCAAACTAACCCGTCCACGTAATGCGTACTAGTCCTTGTATGTTAATATTGAATTTAGTAAAGGTTCGTCGAAGGTGAATAGAATTCTTGTGGCGCCAATTTCACTGTTTGATCTAAGCCGCCATAGTGATTGGATTGCCCTATTATAACCTTATTACAAATTACAACCAAACAAATGAATAATTATGACGTATTTCCGCAATAAAATTTTCACGTTTTTATATTCAGAAATTTTTTTTTAAATGCAAAGGAACATCAATTTTTCACGCAATTGATTTCAACTATGTACCTATTCTAAAATCTGATGAATTTCTATGAAAAATAGAAACAGCAAGGAAACAGCTTATTTCCGCAAGAAAATTTTTGTGTTTTTTTATTCAGAAAAATGTTTCAAAATGCTGATGATTTCAGCTATTCTAAAGTTCGGAAAATGGAAATGACGCATTTCCGCAGGAAAATTTATGTGTTTCTGATAAAAGGAAGACTTTCTGAAAACAACTGTAACAACATCTCTTATATACCTGATTTCAGCTAAACGAAAGTTGAGCCAAGTTTTTAACTAATTCTAAATATTTCCTGAAGATTAAAAATTAAAAATTGGAAATTTATTTTTTTCGTAAAAAATCAAAAATTAAAGTCTTAAATTTATTATTCAGTCTCGTAGGTTACTTTCTTAAAATTATTTTATTTGTATTTGGTCTCAATGCCAAAACAAATTGAAATTGAAAAATTTTTTATGATAAAAAAACTCAAAAAAAAAGAAATTTTTCAAAAGAACTTAATTATGAAACACCAATTACAAAATACAATTTATAGGAAAAAGGGATTACTTACAATGCACGATGATTGAAACTGTATCACTTTAACTTTGTACGTTGGATCTTGTTGTTTCTTTTCTTCAGTAAATTTTTTCAAAAAGTGGAACGAATTGGATTAAACTTTTTCGAAAATTCAATCTCTGGACTCTATAGCACTCTGAAGAACATCTGCACCGAACTGCGCCAATTATATTTTCGATTCAGAAACTTTTATTTTTAAAAAACATTTATTTTATTAATTAAAATACAATAGTGACAATCGGAAAATATGTGGATCAAATTGCTACAGGGAGTGCCTGAAAACAAATGAACACTCCTTACGGGAAAGCTCTGGCTTAAATAATAAATATTTGCTGATCCAAGCATTTTCCTAGGCAGGTGGTGGTACTACCAGTGCAGTACCGCTGATTAAGCAGTTTTATATATTTATTAGTATTAACATAGGCGTACGCTTATAATTATCATAGGAAAGGAGAATTATTAGTATAAAGATAACATAGGGTCTTACAATATAACTTGTTGATGGTGGCAATACTGTACAAAGTGAAAAACTTGTTTCCACAAAAAAAATTATATTTATTAAGGTTTATGATATTTCCATACATATATTGATCCCTACAGATTTCAAAACGTTGAAAATACATTTATTTTGAAACTAGAACCTAACATTTATTGTGAAACTACTTTTCCTTTTTCGTTGACCTAGTAACTTTGAGGATATTCGGAAATATTCTATCTTTTATACGCATTGATTTTATTAGAGCGCTTTATAATTTCTTAACAAAATTTTTAATTTTTAATTATTTTTCTAATAAATCCATCCAGACAACATAATGAAAATAATATCAAATTTTCCTCAGGTATGTCCATTCCTTCTGAGAGTATTTGTCTCATCCTCTGGCCACCATCACAAATTAACTGAATACCACAAAGGAAACACCCCCAGTAACGAGTTACAAATTTACACTTGGAAAGATGCCACTTTATACGAACTCACCCAACTTGTCAAAGAAGTAAATCCTGAAGCACGTCTCCGAGGGACGAAATTTAGTTTTGCTTTGGTGTTTCCTGATTTTAAGGGCCCATTTTACAGGTAAAATTGAACGTATTTTAGAAAAATGCAAGTTGTTAATCTGGTTTTTTAGGTTGAGAGAAATTGGCAGTACGCTTACAGGAGTTAAAGGGCCTGATGATCAAAAAACTTTGGGTAGTTCTAGAATTACTATAGGTGACTATATGGACATTGCCATAACTCCACCAGACAATTGGAACAGTGGCAGGGGCAAAACCTATTCCAACAATTTTCCCAACAGAGGAAGACCTTTTTAAAATGTTCACAGATGAGGTGATTTACGTTTTAAGTTATTATAAAGATAATTTTAATGTTTTCAATATTTCTTATGTGTGAAGTACTTAGTTATAGGGTGTTTTATGACAAATAAATTATTTGAATGGAAACTGTTATTGTCACAAAATATTATTTGCCGTTCTTATCTTAAAAATCATACTCAAATTTGCTTTTTTCATCATATATTTTAGCTATTTTTCAAGTCACATGTGGGAAATATTTTACTAAGAATTTATATCACATTAACTCTGTATACAAGTTAACTTTAAAAATAAATGGGTCATGATTAAAGATCATTATTTTATTCCCAAATGACGAATTTTCTGTCCCTAGCCTGAAACATGTGAGTTTAGGTAAAATTTTCTGGAGTTGAAAAACAAATAATATGTGGATAACAAACATTTTGATGTACCACCATTATCTATAAGAAACAGATTATGTGACAAAGGTGACAAATATTTACGTTTACAATAAACTTACCAAAATAAATTTAAATAAGACAATTAGACAAAGGAACAATACAAAAAAAAAAACTGGAAAGTCCCAATAATTAGTATTATTTCCAACAAACAGATTGGAAAAAAAATATATAGGTATATTTGCAGAAATTCAATCAATTTTGAACTAGGTACATTTTGAAAGACTAGAAGCATATACATTTGCTCTCATATTTGCAATAGCCTCCATAATGTCTTTGGAGTCGGCATTGATCGACACATTCATCATGTGAGCAAACAGTTTCGATATTTTCTCTTATGTATTCTGAAATAAACCAAAAATGTAGTCATTTCACAAAAATATCAAATTTACTTACGTTTTATTAATGCTTCCTTGGCATTCTCGTCTTCATCCCCTTGGTTCTTATAATTTTGCTTATCATTGTTTGTATTATCGTCATCACCTTCTTTGCTATCATCTTCATCAATATCATACTGTCCATATTCTTCATTTAATTGTTCTTCAAATTCTTTCCAAGGATCCTGAATTTCCGATTCTACACTTCTATCTTTGTCATCAGCGTTCTCCTTATTTTCATTATCTGGATTTTCAATATTTATATTACCATCTTGCTCTTCTTTTCGAGCCTCATTGTTATCTTGTGGAGCTTCAATTTCTTTATTATCATTATCTGAGTCTCCTGAGTCACCAATAATTGATTCTGGCAAAGATATTTCTGTGGTGGTTGAGGCATCACCTGATCCAGAATCGTCAGTAGTCGACTCGGTACCTGGTGTTTCAGAGGATTCTTCTATTGAAGTCTGTGTTGTTTCATATGGGATATCTGTGGGTGAAGAATTGTCATCAAGATTCGGTTCTATTGTGTCAGTTAGTTCCTCATCATCAGGCAGTTCTGTTGTCGCTTGGTCAACATCGAATCCGAACCATTCCAAAAAAGTTGGGGCACTATTGCCTAAAGTAACCACTACAGAGAAAATCACAAATATAGTTAAAAACTTCATTTTGTTGACTTTTTATCTATAATATGATTTGAATCGTTTCTAGTACTGTTACTATTTGAGAATTTCTCGAGCAATATATATTTTATTGGCTACTGAGGCAAATAAAAATATTATCTTTGCGATAATAGCCTGTAGTTAAGGATTTTGGGGAAATATTTATTTGTTGTAGGATTTGGGGACTTAATTGAAGGTTTTTAGGAGAAAATATATCAAGTTTTTTCTACGTGTTTTGCACACAGCATACTTTCAAATAGATATTTTGGAACTGGTATTAAGCAATTATTTTTAGTTATGTTTAAAACTGGTCAGTAAAACAAAAAATTGAAAATTGCACTATTTTTATTTTATCCAATGAAATACATATAATAGAAAATTGATACCATTATGTAAGACAAAGAATATTGCTAATTCATTTATGAATTAATTCATAGGTAACATGTGCATTGAGTTCCATATTTGCAATAACCACCATGGTATTTACTGTCTCTGCACTCCTTGTTACATGTAGCCCAAATGCAGCTTCTGTTGATTTTGTCCCTGATGTATTCTATGAAAAATAAATTATCTAATCTTTGATTACTTCAGAACTAAATAAATACTCACGTTCTAGAACTTCATCCCTATCACGGTTATTATTATTATTCCTGTTTTCTTCTGAAGATCCTCGGTTGTTATTTCTACTTCTGTTATTTCTTTGATTATCTTCTTCGGAAGAATCTTTTTGATTTCGGTTTCTGTCTCTGTTGTTATTACGGTCATTATTTCTGTCTCTGTTGTTATTGCTGTCATTATTTCTATCTCTGTTGTTATTGCGGTCATTATTTCTATCTCTGTCATTGCGGTCATTGTTTCTGTCGTTGGAATGATTATTTTGTTGTCTCCTGTCTCTTTCTTCTGATGAATTTTTATTGTTATTGTGGTTATGATTATTATGGTTATTATGTCTTCCATCTTCTCTTGAATCGTCTTCGTCTTGTTCATTAGAATTATCTTTGGTATCTTCGTTGCTATTACGGTTATTGTGGTTATGATTATTATTATGTCTTCCATCTTCTCTTGAAGAATCTTTATCATTTTCGTCGTCGTCTTGTTTGCTTTCATTTTCTTCTTTTTGCTCATTAGAATTGTCCTTGGCATCTTCCTTGCTCTTATTTTTCTGATCTTCAGTACTATTGATATCATTATCTTTTTCATTGCTATTTTTATTTTCTGATTCCTTCGATTGGCCGTTTGACTGTTGGTCTTTCTCAGAACTATTTATTTGTTCTCTGGAGTTCTCCTGTGATTGTTCGCGATCATTATCTTTTTCTTGAGATTGACTATTTGGCTGTTCAGCTTCTTCAGAATTATCTATTTGGTCTTGAGATTGTTGGGAATCTCCATTCTGATCTTGAGAATTTTCGCTTTGGCCTTCTGATTGCTGGGCATTGCCGTTGTCATCCTCAGACTGTTGTTGTTGCGGGTTTTGGCTCGGGTCTTGCGCTTGTTGAGAATCGCTACTTTGTCCATTGCTTTCACCCTGAGCTTGTGAATTTGGACTCTGGTCTTGGGGTTGTTCGGGATTGCTGTTTTGGTTCTCAGATTGACCATTGCCGCCACTCTGAGCTTGTTCTGAATTTTGACTCTGGTCTTGGGATTGTTCGGGATTACTGTTTTGGTTCTCAGACTCTCCATTGCTGCCACTCTGAGCTTGCGAACCACTTTGGCCCTCTGATTGTTGGGCATTGTCGTTTGCTGAATTTTCAGACTGGTCTGCAGACTGTTGGGTATTTTGACTCTGGTCCTGGGATTGTTCAGAGGTACTGTTTTGACCTTGAGATTGTCCATTGTTTTCACTCTGATCTTGAGGTTGTTCGGAATCGCTATTTTGTCCCGGAGCTTGTTCTGAATTTTGAGTCTGGTCTTGAGATTGTTGTGAGTTCTGATCTTGAGGTTGTTGGGAATTTTCACTCTGGCCCTGTGGTTGTTGGGCATTGTCGTTTGCTGAGTTTTGAGACTGGTCTGCAGACTGTTGGGTATTTTGACTCTGGTCCTGGGATTGTTCAGAAGTACTGTTTTGATTCTGAGATTGTCCATTGTTTCCACTCTGATCTTGAGGTTGTTCAGAATTGCTACTTTGTCCCGGAGCTTGTTCTGAATTTTGACTCTGGTCTTGAGATTGTTGCGAGTTCTGATCTTGAGGTTGTTGGGAATTCTCACTTTGGCCCTCTGTTTGTTGGGCATTGTCGTTTACTGAATTTTCAGATTGGTCTGCAGACTGTTGAGTATTTTTACTCTGGTCCTGGGATTGTTCAGAAGTACTGTTTTGACCCTGAGATTGTCCATTGTTTGCACTTTGATCTTGAGGTTGTTCGGAATCGCTACTTTGTCCCGGAGCTTGTTCTGAATTTTGACTCTGGTCTTGAGATTGTTGCGAGTTCTGATCTTGAGGTTGTTGGGAATTTTCACTCTGGCCCTCTGGTTGTTGGGCATTGTCGTTTGCTGAGTTTTGAGTCTGGTCTACAGACTGTTGGGTATTTTGACTCTGGTCCTGGGATTGTTCAGAAGTACTGTTTTGATTCTGAGATTGTCCATTGTTTCCACTCTGATCTTGAGGTTGTTCAGAGTTGCTACTTTGTCCTGGAGCTTGTTCTGAATTTTGAGTCTGGTCTTGAGATTGTTGCGAGTCTCCGTTCTGATCTTGAGGTTGTTGGGAATTGTCACTCTGGCCCTCTGATTGTTGAGCATTGCCGTTTTCACCCTGGGGCTGTTGTGGATTTTGACTCTCGTCTTGCGCTTGTTGAGAACCGCTACTTTGTTCAGATTGTCCATTACTTCCATCCTGAGCTTGCTCGGAATTTTGACTCTGGTCTTGTGGTTGTTGCGAATTTTGACTCTGGCCTTGGGATTGTTCAGGGTTGCTGTTTTGGTCCCCAGATTCTCCATTGCTTCCAGTTTGAGCTTGTTCAGAATTTTGACTTGGGTCTTGCAGTTGTTGCGAATTTTGGCTCTGGTCTTGCGGTTGTTCAGGATTACCAGTTAGATCTCCAGATTGTCCATTGTTTTCACCTGGAGCTTGTTCTGAATTTTGACTCTGGCCTTGGGATTGTTCAGGATTGTTGTTTTGATCCACAGATTGTCCATTGCCTTCAGTTTGAGGTTGTTCGGAATTTTGACTAGGGTCTTGTGGTTGTTGTGGAATTTGGCTCTGGTCTTGGGCTGGTTCAGAGGCTCCGGTTTGATCAGGTTGTTGAGCTTGTTCTGAAGTTTGACTCTGGTCTTGAGTTGGTTGCTCATTTTGGCTTTGATCTTGAGGTTGCTCCGAATTGCCGCTTTGTCCCCCGGATTGTTCACTTTGAGCTTGTTCCGGTTGTTGGGAATTTCCACTTTCACTCGGAGATTGTCCACCACTACCACTTTGAGCTGCATTTCCACCATTATTGTCAGATTGTGGCTGCTCAGGGTCAATATTTTCCTTCTGTGGTGCTTCACTCTGTTCTGAATTTTTAGTAGTGCTCTGGTCATTTGGAGTTTGCGGTAAGTTTTCACCAGCACCAGATCCAGTACTAGTGTTTTCCGACGCATTATCTTGTCCATTTGGATGTTGGTTTGTAGAATCAGAAGACGTGACTGCATTTTCATCACAAATGATGACTTCAGTATGTGCTTCAATGTTGGAATCTAAAAAATTAAGAAATATCACTTCTCTCAAAATCGTGCTGTAATATCTTGAATAATGTTTGACTCTCACATGTAAGTGATTTTTGAAAAAGTTTCAGGGTTCGTTGGAGGTTTTCATTTACCATCGATTTTTATTAGTGACAAAATCAGAAAAGATTGAAAGAAAAGGAAAACTTAACTATTACGCGATCTCATGTATTTTTATTACCTCTTTTGGTTAGGTAATCCCAACCTTTCCAAAATTCTGAATGCGGTTCAATATAAAATTTTAAAAGATTTTTTAGATCGTCCACAAACAAAAACCAATTGACATAAAACCCAAAACCTAAAACAACATAAAAATCTATGGTACCTGTTTTTCGAAAAATAGAAAACCTCCCTGATTTGCCTGACCAAATGAATTTTCAATAAAATAGATAACTGTGTGAGCTGCTTACCTCCAGAAGAAGTTGTAGCCTCTTGATCTCCTAATCCAGTTTGGCATTCTGGAGAAGCTGGTTCTACTGTGACCCCAAAACCAATATCAATATACTCTTCATTTGGAATTGGTTCAGCTATTTCCTCAGTACCACTTAAATCTGAAAGATTTACAACACTTGGTGCGCTATTGCATAAAGCAATAAGCAAAAAAAACTGAACAAAATTTAAAAAAATCTTCATTGCATAACTTTTTATCATATGATTTAAACGTTTCTCGAAATACTCTTAAGCCACAGCAATTGTTACAGATATTATATAGGTAAGTTTCCAATGACGCACCTGTTTACAACATAATATAGCACATAATCATTATGGAATAATAAGAAAATAATTGTTATCCAAAGGATTAGGGTGTTTATTTAAACATTTATTATTTCACAATTGTGAAAAGGACCACTCAGCTAAGGTCGCACGCTTATATTTTTGAATTTTTGTTATTTGAAAAATTACTAGAAATACGCATTTATTTATATAACATATAATATTTATATATTTTTTTTTTCATCTAAAACCAAATATTTATTACATAACTAAATTCCAAATTTTTATATCCCCGTCATCACTACATGAAGCTAAAACATTATTCATAACAGGATTCCAGGCAATTGAATTCACGTCTTGACTATGAGCTTTTTGTATATTACAAATCATACTAAAAGTAGGGGCATTTGGAACTGAGCCTTCATCTTCTTTAAAAATTCTTATAGCGTCATCCCCACAAGCTGTTGCTAGTAGGCCAGTTGTCTTGGACCAATCGATATCGTAAATTGTCCTAGAGTGGTGTCCAGATATAGTACAAACACATTTCCATGTCGAGTCATTGTCCACTGTTGCTACACCTTCTTCATTTCCAGGTGGATATTCCTTCCAGATTTTTATTGTGTTGTCGTCACTGCATGAAGCTAATCTTTTGCCATTTTCTAAAAAAAAAACATCAATAATAATTATGGAATTTTTCTAGATATTCTTGACTATATTTGAATTATTTTCAGATTAGTAGGCCTTCAGTTTGTTGGGGAAAAGGCTACTCCATTTTGCTAGCAGATCTTTTAGAAACCTCTGCACCTTGAAAAAGGAAATCGACGTTTCCAGAAGCTTGGCTAACAAAATAAAGTAGTCTCAAAACACCTGAAGCTCTACTAATTTACAAGAAAAGTATTGAAATTATAGAATACAGGTATTAATTATTGATTACCATCAAAACTGATACTCCAAACTGTAGAGTCATGACCTGTCAAAGTGCCACAGCAAACCCAATCTCCATCACTTAAGTCTTCTTTGAAAAATTTGATGGTATTGTCATAGGAAGCAGAGGCTAGTAAGTCTTTGTTGGGGTGCCAAACAATCTAAAAATAATTAAAATTAAATGATAGCCTTCTAAGTTGTCGTATCATTTACCTTCTTAACATCTTGTGAGTGTGCGTTTAATACAGCAGCACAATCGTACTCGTTTTCTTCGGCAACCTCCCAAATCCAGACAGATTTGTCACGGCTGCAAGTAGCCAGAAAATGGCCAGATTTAGACCAGGCAACGCTTTTCACTTCATTTTCGTGGCCTTCTAGAGTCGCATTGCACTCGAATTCGCCTTGCTGTTTGTCCCATATGCAAGTTGTAGCGTCAAAACTGGCTGAAGCTGAAACATAGGGTTATAATTTAGAAAAACATGAAAAAATCACAAATATTAGATAACACTAATATTAAAAAACTCGATAGTGAATCAAAACTGTTAAGACAGTAAGTATTCTAGCCGATTTCCGGCAAAAAATTCGAATATGGTAGCGAATTAGGTTTTTTGAAGCTCTTTTCATAACTGGGAGTTTGTTAAAGGAAAGGACACCAAAGACGTTTTTGGAAGATAAGGAATGTATATGTGATTATTCTACCTGGGAACATGACAGTGGACACTGAAAGCTGGTGAGAATTAATGGTACTCAAATGTTTACTTGCAAATAGAGTAAAAATTATCATACAAGGAAATGACAGTATGTTGTTTTAAATAGAGCAGAATATTCTAGAGGGTTAAGAAAAAACATTAATCGAATTATTCTTTTTTAAAAGATAATAATTTGGATCCACAGAATTTTTGTAACATGTTAGAGGAATGACTGACACCAGAAGGTTATTCCATTATGTGAGTGTAAGCGAGAGCATAAAAGTAAACATTTAGCAGTTAAGAATAGTGGGATCACATGCATCCCAAAGTGAGAGGAGCAAAATGCAGAGCACCATTAAATGATTTATTTTCAAGCTTTTCAGCTTCAAAAATTCTTATTGACCCAGCATTGGAACTGTTGCTTGATCTGTTAAAAGACGTTTGACTATTCAATTCAAACAGAGGCATTATTCAAGGGTGTTTGAAATCCATGGGGTGAAAAGGAATGCATTGAAATGGTAAGGATTTGTATCTGAACGAAAGGGTGCGGATAGTAAAAATTTATAAGATTGTGAATGTGAAATTCCAGTATGACTTTGTGCATTCACATCATTCAATAATAATGTCCAGCATATTAGGACCAAATCTATTTGTAAGATTTAATAACGAATGATTCACGATTCACTGGGAGGTAAAAATTAATTCCAAACAAACAATTATTCAACTACGCTGGTGAGATAAACCTAATAACAGCAGGACAAATATTTGTCTTAATTAGACAGTAAAAACTTTCTGGGAAATGTTTCTACTTGGTTCACAGAAACCAGATTAATTTTTAATGCACATAAGCTAATTTCATATTTTTTTTTAACCTAAACAGTCTAATAATGTGAAATTTTCCGACGCATAAATTAATAAAATCCCAGATTAGTCTTTTTACATAATTAAAAATTAAGCTATATAATGTGTCATGGATCCGGGTGGAGGGTATTAAATTTTTACGAATTATTTTATCATGACATTATTATGTTTTGCAGGAAACAAAATACTTTCTTTAAGATAAATACCCTGAAACTTACAACATGGAATTTTATAATATGGTATTTATTTGAGTGTTGATGTTTTCAGTAGATCATTAATGGTCTCTGTTTCATAAACAGTTAAGTTTGTATTTTTTAAAAGTGACAGCGATTGGTTCAGTAAGTACCTATCGATTTTTGCTATTTTTCCTAGCAAATTACCTAAAAGCTCAAAACAGACCTCAAACAAAAATTGTTTTTGTAGATATGGAGACTCATTTGTGTTTATTTGCAGGATAGTGAAGATATGAGCCCAAAATACATTATTATTTTTTAGTAGGTAGCAAGTTAGTAGAAGTAAGCGGCAAATGATTGCAAGATAAATCAGTCTTTGGTTTTGTTAAGGTATAGTATTTGGGTTTTCCCATGATCCAGTCTTTTTGATTTAGCTGTAGAGTTAAGTGAATATTATAGATTGACACACATACAAAGCTTGAGCGTACAGATCACATGGAATGGAAAAAGTTGTGCTGAATAGACACCAATCCTTCTTGAAATCAGCACATTGAAATAAATTTAGTATCGTCTTGCATCGTCGTGCCTAAAGAAGCAATAAATGGGTACCTAACAAAAAAAAATCAGAATAATGGAGATAAAAGAAGAAGAACAAAAACGTCATTATCCCCCTTTCTACACTTTAAGCCCCTACTACAGAAGTTCTTTTAAAACTAGTTTTCTGCAAATGCAAAAAGAGATGACTGGGGCATGGGTGCTGAAAACCAGTTACTGTTCTGTAATTTCTTCAAATTGTGGCAATAGATGTGATAACATGCCCCAAGTATTGGAAGATAGTGAAGAAGATGAACCTGCTGATACCATTTTAGAACTACTTTGTAATGAAATGGATGAAGAACAATAGAAACTGAAAAATCCTTCTGGCAGGAGGATTTTTTTTTTCACTGGGAACACAAATTTTCCTCTTTCTAACTTAATTTTGTTTTGTTTTTCCGCTAAGATTTTGGAGCCCTTTTCACGAAAATCCCAAGATCAAGGTGCAGTGTTGTCAAACGTCCAGAATAGCAACTTTGAATGAAGAATTGAGGTAATTCACTTTTCAATTGGAAATTTATTGTTTTGTTCTGACCAGAAGAAGATAGTTGCAATTTATTAATTAATTTGCTGCCTGATGGTAGGTATATCTGTAGCGAAGACTTTTGCAAGAAAATCTTTCCCATGTCCGTATCTGAGGCAAAATGCATTCCACTGAAGAAAAGAGTTTTAATCATCTGTTGTTTAAACTGTAAGTCCGCAGTATGAGATTGTCTTCGTAATAGTGATGCTATCAAACACTTAACTAATGAAGTTGCCCTCTATTCGCCTAATGGAAGATCAGCAGAAAACACTATTCTGTGTTAACAAGCCTAAAACAGACACAAAATCTGATCGACCGCATCATGGCTTGCAAGAACCAGCTGCAGGTGAGCATATCAAAAATAGGGATGTATCTCTATCACTTTTAGAAGGTCAAACCAGAAGTAAACTTGATCAATACATAAACTTAGCGGGTCCAATTCAAGTAGCTACAGGTTCTCCCCATACAACGAGAGAACCAGCTACAAAAGCAATAACATCGAGCATAGAGGCATTATTCTAGGAGCTAATAGCACCGCAAATAACCACCAATTAGAAGCGGTGCCTAGAAAATCATCATCAATTTCTACCACTAAAATACATATCACTAGATTGGATCTTCGTACAACTGCCAGTGATCTAGAAGACTATATAAAGATCATCTTCAATATTTATCTATGGGTAGCAAAACTAACTTCCCGCTATCCGACTCATACAGTTCCTTTAAGATAGCTTTTCCCGAAACGTTGGTTAAGGATATGCTATCACCTGACAACTGATTAGAAGGTGTTGGGGTTAGAATTTTAAGGAAAAAACAAATCCAAAAAAACGGAACTGCACAGGAAGCTCGACCTGCATGAACCGAGGAAACAATAGTCGGATCGATCCAGATAAGTTGACAATGTATTATCAAAATGTGAGAGGTTTGAAAACCAAACTAATCGATTTTTCTAAAAAATGTAAGTTTGAACAATTATGACTTTATCCTATTGACAAGACTTGATTAAATTCTGATTTCTGAGATCCTGGAATATTTAGTCAACAATATTTTGTATTTAGATGTGATAGAAACGCTGAAGTAACTGGTAAATCAAGAGGTGGCGGGGTCTTGATAGCGGTCTCCAAAAATAGCAATAGCAATATCGATGAGATCTGAGTGCTAGTTACTATTGGTGTTACTAAAGTTATTTTATGTAGTGTTTATTTTCACCCAATTAGACTATCCAAGATGCCAGGGATCCACCGATACCGATATGGCATATCGGTATATCGGCCTTTTTCAGATATATCGGTGTATCGGCATATCGGCCCTTCATTGGCCGATAGCTTTAGACCGATACAAATCATATTTTAAAAGATCAGTAATCATCACTAAGTCTTTTTTGAAACTCAAAAGAGCTAATAATTGTGGTTCGTACATATGGCAGTGACTAAGAAGAAAGTAAATATTAGAAATTGTTTTTCATAAATTTATTTTAAATTAATTAGATATTTACATAGAAAAAAAAACTTAACATTCTGCTTATCTAAACTCAAATTCGAAATTATTTATTTTTATTTATTTTATTTCAACGGATATACCATTCACATTTGAACAATAAATGTTTTTACAATAATTTCATATAAATCTATTTCATAGGTATAAACTTAACAAAAACTGTTTTAATTTTATTTTAACAACAAACTTAAATTCTATTTTTCAGGAACTCATTTACTGTTCTATTGAACTGTCTAAGAGATACATTAAATATATCAATATCTAATTGGTTTATTGAACTAGCCATTCTGTTCAAAGGCGAGTTCATTCCATAATTAGTTCTATGAAAATCAATATGGAACAATGAAAAATTTCTTGTTGTCCTTTGAGGAACTTCCAGAGAAACTAATTCTAGTAATCTTGGACTATCCACATTGTCATTCATCAGTTTAAACAGAAATCTAACGTCCAACATAAATCTTCTATTCTCTAAGGAGTCCAAATTTAATAAACTGTACAGGGAGACATAATTAATATCTAGTTTCGGTATTTTAAGTTTGTAATTAATAATTCGTAAAAATCTTCTCTGTATTTTTTCTAGAATTTCCCTGTATTTAAGATAATGTGGATTCCAGACAGGACTGGCATATTCAACAATAGAACGAATTAGGGAACAGTACAATAACTTGAAACAATAAATATTATTAACCTCCTCCAAAGTGTGAGACATAAACCCTAATAATCTTAAACATTTATTGTAGCTGTTTCCAATATGAATACTAAAGTCCATTTTATGGTCAAAAAATACACCAAGATCCTTGATTCTGTCAACACTATTAATCAGTGGCGTAGCTAGGCGTCGGCGATGTCGGCGACCGCCGACGGCCTCGCGCCCTAAGAGGCCTCGCAAAAAATAGGTTACCGAACTTGAAAATTGGCACTTTTCAATTTCCCAAAATGAAACGTAGAATTAACTTAATTCTATATGAAACTTCTTTTAATATCATAAAATTCGTGCAGTATTGTACATTCTACAGCAATTTGAAAGTTCGTCCAGCATTTGATTTCGTTCAGCAAACCTGCTAACATACAGAGATTCGGAAATTATTTAGGTTTCCTAAAAAATTGCCTGA